TCTTTGTCTAATATTAAAATTGTAAATCCAATTGAATCTTCTCAAACAATAAAAATGAGCTGTGGTTTTAGACAGACCCTGGATGTGAGAGAAATATCAGTCTCTTATCTATTGGCAAAAACTGCAAACAAGCTTCTCAAGATGTTGAACTTTTCCCTTAGTGTTTAAAACCTCTACAAAAGCAAGACAAGCAAGTCAAACTAGGAAAAAGTGTGCACTTGTTTTTCTGTATATGTGTACATCTAACTGCTGCCTACCTAGTCTAAGCTGTGTTGTGGAAACAGTCTTAAGTGGGTGCAGAATTCAGACAGTGCTCTTTTCCCCACCCACCTGTGTGGCTCTGCTGCTGGACCTATGTGAGGGCCCGATGGCGATGTTGACACTGGAGGATGACTGTGTATCGGTGGTGTTGCCCCCTTCAGCAGCGGACAACCCGGAGATAACCAGGCCGCTGGAGAAGCTACGCTTCCCAAACAGCAAGCTGAGTGTGGATGAAGATGAGGAGACCTGGCACCACAAGGAACGGAGATATTGCAGTTCTGTTATAATGTCGTACAGTAAACACTAAGGTGATTTATAGGAACATCAAGAATCTGTTTTCAGATCTTCCATCTGTCGACCATGTGTTTAGGCATGCTGCATTAGGAGTGTACAGTTCCTACCTGACTGGAGCGCTGCTGATGCTGCGCTGCCTGAAGCTGCGCGCTGATGCCACCTGCTCCTGAGAGACGAGGGACCTGGAGACAGACAAAAATCCTCTTTACACTCTTAGTAAGGGAGCACAAAAGCAGCTGCAACCGAGAAAAGTACGCTTTTTACAATGTGTGCGTATACCTGGGAGAATATAGAAGCTATGGAGGTGTTAAAGGACAGCTGACTGTTAGACAGACGCTGGACAATCCCGTTGTTGGAGCCCGAGTCCAGGATTGGGCCAGACTGGCTGCTGACAGGGGGGCGCTGACTCTGGGGCTGCACTGATCGACTGCGGTACTCTCTCCTGGCTGTAGAATTAAAAACGTGAACATTTGTAATGAAACGCAAGATTTAATAACCTAATGTACAATTTAAAAAGCACGTTATATTTGACTTCAGGATTTTAGTTTAGCTATGTGGCTCTCTGTGGTCTCTTAAAAAATAAAAACACTGGTACATCTACGTATTTGGACACCACCATAAAAAACAACAACAAGATGTTAAATGAAGACTTTCATTTTTCATTTTAAAAGAGTTTAGCAAAAGCATTGCAGTGATGTGGTGATCAAAGTTGTTATAATGTTAACATAAGTAAATTGGGTAAATAACTTTCAGAGTTGAACTAAAACCATCTAAAACTATAGCCAGTGAAAATTTCAACTCAAACACATGTTTTGGGTTGTTGGAAGATAAAGCGACGACACAGAGCAGTTTTGCTGCTCAGGCTGAGATTTTGTTCCAAAGAAAATTGTCTTTTTTCACGATTCCTTCCAGGTTGATGAGAGTCCCAGCTCCAGATGCACTGAAGCATCTCAACAGCATAATACTCCCACCATGTTTCACTGTGGGGATGTTATTTGTTGGATTGTACGCCTCTTCCTTCCAAACATGTTTTCCAAACATGAGCAGCATCTCTGTGGCCAAAGACCTCTAGTTTTGTCTCATCTGACCAAAGGGTGCACTTCCAAAATGCTTGATCTTTGTCCAGGTTGTTCTTAGTGTACTTCAGTATGACTTGAAGGCGTCTCTTCTGAAGAAATCAAGATTTTCTTGCACCGAGTACATACCTGTGCAGGTCTCCATCGAGACTACAATTCCCAACCGGTCTAAGTCATTTACTAATGTCTTGGCAGTTGTTCTGGCGTCTTTACACACATCTCTCAGTAGTTTTATTTCCAGAGAATTTAAAATCTTTTGCCTCCTATCTCTGCCAGGCTTGTTCTGTACTGTGTGGCTTGTGTTTCTTGATGATACTTTTCAATCCTCTTCTTTACACTTGGAAAAAAGTGACAACTTTGTATATCCATCTCCTGCTTTGTGAGTATCGAAAATTATTTTTCTCAAGTTGAAACTGATTTCCTTTGTATATGGCACTATGACACTTTCTCAAGTGACAGCTCAAACCCTTACTGAAGTTTTTTTTTTTATACTGTGTGTAAATTGTGCTTTAGAGTTCAAAAGCTGACCTTATTTTTACCTCATAAGTAAGCAGCCTGGTCATTAGTTACATGCAAAAAACTGAGTTAATCCCATGCTTGTAGAAACACCTTCTGCTGCACGAGTGACTTTATCGGTTTCTCACATAATTGTGGAACAGTTTTGTCCCACTCCTCTTTACAACATTGCCTCGGGTTATTGAGGTTTCCAGAGATTCATTTTTGTCCCACCACAGCATTTCAGTTGGGTTGTAGTCTGGACTTTGTCCCATTTTCCTTAATTCTTTTCTTTTTCGGGCATTCTGTTGGAGTTTTGCTGCTGTGCTTAGGATCGTTGTTTTGTGGAAAAACCTAATTTCTTTCAAGTCATAGCTATTGGATAAAAAGCCTCATATTTGATTCCAGAGTACTTTGACACACAAAAGAATTCATAATGGACTCAAAAACCGCAAGGTTCCCAGGCGCTGTGGCTACAAAACACACCAAAATCATTACCTCTTCGCCACCGTGGTTAACAGTTGTTATGAGGTGTACGTTCTAATATGCTGTGTTTAGTTTTTGCAAAACATGGTGGTTTCGATTATGACCAAACATCTCCACTTTGTCCTTGTCTCTCTACAGGACATTGTTCTGGAAGTCTTGTGGTTTGTTCAGATGCAACTTTGCAAACTTAAGCTGTGCTGCCAGTCTTTTTCTAATCATACTGTCATTAACCTTAACATTTAACATGGTAAGTGGAGCCTGTAGAGTCTGAGATGTTCACTCGTCATTCACTCCTCGAAGATCGTGGCGTTGTGTTAACACACACCTGAAGGCTCCAGTAAACACTTTTCTGATAGGTTTATATTCCCTTTGCTTGTTTCAAATATAATATAAAACTACATATTATTTTATAAAGCAGGGTCAGAGAGTAGGCAATGTGACAGACTATAATTTAGGGTGGGGCTTAGGCGGGGCTTAGATTTGAAAAGTTACATAGCTTGACTTTGGTTCGTGTGATTAAAAACAAACAAAACCCAAGCATTATTAGGTTTACATCGAGATTGTAGTAGAAGAATTTGTACCAGCGTTGCGGTGTCTGTGGCTGTGTGCCGTCCTGGCTCTGTGCTGGCTCAGGCTGTTGGATGTGACAGAGGATGGGCGGTTGTGGCTCAACGATGACGACCCACCGGCACCGCAGTCCACATCCTCCATATTCATGCCGCTGTTACAGCTGGTCAGGTTGTCCTTACGCACCCTGCAGAACACAAGCACACAGCTCTGATTTATTTATTCATGTCCACATCAGTGCAAGGGATGCACACAGGCAAGGGGACGTTCAAAAATTTACAGAGCCTTAACTATCAGCACTGCTTAAACCACACACACACACACACTCAGAGATGTTACGTAACTGTGCTAACATATGTGGTGGTGGTGGTGGTGTTCCTCGTAAATTAGTTAAATGTGTTCTGGCTGGGGAGGCTTGATCCATCTCCTTATCTCCTTTTCTACTTAGTCGAATTAAGACAACACCTTTCAGTCAAGGCGGATGAAACAGGCTTAACAAACTAATCTAATCTGAAAGCAAAACTCTGCCCCAAGAAGCTTAAGGGCGAACTGCGCAGTTACAAAGACACACACCATTAGCTGACCTGCAGAGGTTAATGCAGCGCCTGTACGATAAGCTCTACCGAAGGTATTGTGTAAATGATGGAGAGAGAAACAAAAGGCAGGATGAAACTGGGGCTGAAGGAAGAGAGAGCCAAGAGAAGGAGGTTTCTGCATAGCAAAGCAGAGAGTTAAAGCTTTCAGCTTCCCGCTTACTCTGTAATCCAGCTGTCTATTTCTCTCAAACATGCACTCGCACTGTCCCTGTACATGTATTTAAAACTACATCAAGTTGGCAGAGAAGCCTCTTCGCAGCACTGACTACCTCCAAGTCAATATCTGTAAATCCACAGAGCAGGCAAGGCTCCCACTAAGCAGGCAGCCAGAGCATTACACTGCAGTTTGCATCTTATCCAGAGTGATTTATACTAAATGCAACCAGCTGAATAAGAGCATTAGGAAGCTGGCATAAACTGCTTTATCCCAACTTTTTCCTCTTTTGTCCCGGAGACATAAGGCCTTCTGTAACAGCTCAGAAATATATATAGATATATATCAGATTTCTGATATGTAATCTTTGTGACTTACAAAATGCTATTAAGTAGATGATGCATTTTAGAAATCGCCTGGAGAAAAACAGAGAATATATACTTATTAGGAGTAACCACAATACTTTTGGTACTCATCTCTGTTCTTATTCACCTCTTTGAAAGGCAGGCAGCTTCTGTGGCAAACTAAAGGGTTATCAAGGCAAATAAAAATACAGTCTTTGAAAACACAGAATAAGGAGACGATTTCAAACAACGAGTAAGTAAACAGTGCATCAAAACAATGGTCAAACTAAAGCAAAAGACAAAATGATGGTAAAAAGAGCTGCTGACACTTAGAGGCATTTGTCAGTGAATTTCAATGCATACTATATCAAGAGGAAAATCCATAACATCTGCAACTGATGCACATGAAGCAATTGCACCGTCACAAACTGCAACTGTCCACTGGGCATGTGATGGGCCACACTGACCATGCACCGTGTGCCGGAAAACTACTACAACTTACTTTCTGCGGTCTTTGCAGCAGATAATTAGCTAGTCCAGAGATTCAAATCTTCTCTCCTGAAATGATTTTGTCCCAGTTTCAGAGGTGAAATCAACTAGATGATTAGAAGAAATATGAAAGTTTTTGTCCTCCAAATATTCCAAATAAAGAGTGTGTTATTCAAGACTCTTCAGAGGCTCATGTTCAACCAGACTGAACCCATGACCTTCAACTTACAGCATCATCTTCTTACCCATCAGAGAGAACTAAATAAAGTCTGTTTTCTGTTTATCTTTAGCATGTGAAAAAAAACAACTAATTTTGAAGCACAGTCACAGGAAGAGATTTGGAAAAGGCTGAGCCTGGAAGGCAAGGATGAAAAAAGAATAACAAACTGCACTTTCTACTTAAGTGGGACAAAATGTACTGACCGCAGCCATTTAGAGCAGAGCCAGGAACGAATGGCATCCAGGCTTAAAGCCCCTCCTCCAATGCCGCGTAGCGTACCGTGTGTTCCTGCGTATGAAGTTGTCAGAGGTGACACGTACCTAAAAAACACAAAAAGAAAGAAAGTTAAACAGAGAAAACGTCTATGTGAGTGGGCTAAATACTTCTATTGAAGCAAATTACGATTTTTCTGTGTAATAATTTGGCACGCACATGGGGTAGCCGAGTGGCTGGTCACAAGAAGAGTTGACCATGTTCCTCAGTGCTTGCTTTGAGTTTTGGATGCTGCCTCGCTCCGGGTTTCGGTTCCTTAAAAATATCAACTCCTGCTGCTGTCCTGCCCAGAGGCCTCGCACACACTCCTTATTGATCTGAAGAGGTACGGAAAAAATAGAAACAATCATACAGGAGTACAAAGTCCAAACACGAGAGAAGGTCCAGAGAACATCTTGTTTGTTTTATACAAAAAGCAATGTGTGAATATGACAATGCTGTGGCCTGATAATTAGCATGTTTTAAGGTGCTTGTGTGAGGATTTTGTAACATTTGGGCAGCCTTGGGCCTTAGGGTCATGGGAATGAACTGTTCCTTTGTAATCATCATCTTATTTTAGCACTTAGGTGCTTTTGGCAGACACCAATAAGCCTCTGGAATAATTCTGGATATGTGACCACTCTTCTTGGCAGAATTTGTAGACTTCATTTACATTGGTTAGTTTCTTGGCACAGGACCTTCTTTGAAGTGTAGTCCACAATTTTTAATACGGTTGAGGGCAGGGCTGTGGGAAGATTAATGTTAGCCTGTTTTATCAGTTCCAAAATGAGTTTTGATTTGCATTTGGGATATTTGTCCTGTTGGGACAACAAATTGTGTCCAAGTTTCAGTCATCCAGCTGTTGACATGAGATGACATAAAAATTGCAACAAAACAGCCCTAGACCGTGATGCTACCACCACCATGCTTGGCAGCTGGTACAGTGTTCTTGGGTTTGAAAGCTTCCCCTTTACTCCTCCAAACGTATCCCTTGTCGTTGTGGCCAAATAGCAGAATTTCTCTCTAACCATAAAACATTTTGTCAGAACATATTTGGCTTGTCCATGTGGACAGCTGTAAATTTCAGTTAATCATGAAGGTGCTGATTTTGGAGCAGGAGTTGGTCGGTGCCCTCAATTTACATGCAGTTTAGTGACAAGTTTGAGCCTCGGTGGTTCTTAGGATTTGCCTGAAATTCACGTTTTCTCTCATCTGAGGGTGACAGATTGGGTCTTCTTCAAGATCTTGGTAAAATAGTGATACCTGTACTTGTACAGTCTTGGAATCTGGAGACCTTCCCAACTTGTGTAAATCTACAATTCTCCTTCTTCACGGAGTTCCTTGGACTTCCCATTTTTTCTGAGTATTGGTCGATCCAGTGAGTGTTGTTGAACAAATCCTTTTTATGCTGGCAAAGAGAAACTAAGATATGTAGTCAACCATCATCACCAACATGAAGTTAATAAGCTTTGGCCTTGTCGAGTTAAACGACGCTGAAGAACTTTTAACGCCACTGATTAAAATATTTAACTGAGTGTTTGCATATATTTGAGCCTTTATATATACTTTTGACCCTGTGTGGATTAGAGAAAATCCAAAATAAATTCATACTTCCAAATCTTGTTTTTTTTTAAGTCATTAAAGAAGTATGCTGTACAATCATTCCACCCTGGAAAAAAAAACAGCTCAAAGAAATCATTAAAAGCCCAGAAATACCATGAGATGATGAGTGTATGTTATCCAGATGTGCGCATTTTCAAAAGTCCATTTGACATCCTAAAGGGAAAGCAGCAACTCCAGAATCAAAAGGAGTTTGAACAGAAGAAATTCAAATTTGCGTGATTTATTTACACTAAGATTAAAAAGCAAAAAAAGCCACGATTATGTTCTATCATACATTTGGAAAAGTGATAGTGTTGGTTTGTTTATTGTCAAACCTTTGAGACCAACCTTCTCCTCATAAATAGGGAGGAGGCTGTCACACTGTGCACACAGCATTTAGCTGTTTAGCCATTCAGCCAGAAAATTAAACGTATTTTACCTTGATGACCTTGAAGCTGAGGTGGCGTTTGTACAGCATGATGATCTTGTACTCGTCCGTGCCATCATCAATCATGTGTCTCAGAGTGAGCAGCGTGTCACGGCTTGACAGCACAGCCTTACGCCAAGCGGGATCGCTCTCGTGGCAGATTACGAGGTTGCTGCGGTAGTTTGTGATGGCTTCGTACAGGATAGACGCCTCCTCGGTCTCTTCCAGACAGGTAAAGTGATCCTGCAAAAGCAGGAAGGTCATCATGAAGTGTTGAAGGAAATGTTTTCTCTATAATGTGTATTTCCAGTACAGTTTGAGACTAAAGGTTGAAAAGCTACATGCTCTCGCTTTACCTGATGCAATTTGAGGCTCATTCTGACTGCAGGAGCCACCACCTTCTGGAGGAGGTCGAGATCAGTGAAAACCCACTCATCCTTAGTGGCGATGCGGAAGTCGCCTTTAAACAGGGTGTTGAAACCGTACAGAAATGATTCAAGACTTTAAAGAGGAAGGGAGGGATTTGAGGGGGGGGATAAAGGAAACACAAAGATAGAGAAATAAAGGATGGATTATAATAACATATTTTAGATTAGATTACAAGACATAATAACACTGCAGAGTCAGAGGTATGTTTAAATGACAGGATGTTTAAAGATTTATCCACTGGCTCCCCCTTCTGGCGTTTCTGTTTAGCACCGGGTAATATGTACAACATGAGACAGACGTTCCAATAATTTGTGCATGTAATCTCAAATGCAACAGAAACATTTTTACTGTGTTTTAAGATCAATTTCCCGTAAGCATTTAATTTCATTGGTTTCCATTCATTTTATTTTAATGGAACAAGTTTATCTACTGCCAAAGTGCACAAAGGAGAGGAAGCAGACTGAAGAGGTCGACACTCTAACAACACACAGGGTTTTAAAATTAGATTCAGATTCAGATAACTTTATCAGTCCCAAAAGGGCAACTTGTTTGCAACTTACCCACAAAACCTACATATATGGTCAAACACACAATCTATAGTATATACACATTGTCAAGGTAGAGATCAGCAAAAATGAGGTCAAAGCAAAACAGATTCTTAAAGAATAAATAAATGTATTAAAAATAAATAAATAGACAAAGAAGAACAAATGCCTAAAAATGAACAGTCACGGAAAAAACTCATCTAAATGATCCCTGCAAGTAATCTAATAGCTGAGGGAATGAATGATTTCACCTCCTAAGACCTGAACTCTTTCATGGCATGCATTTTATATTTTTCTTTGCTATTTGGGTTGATTAGGACCTGATGAATGTGAAAGCAAAGAATTACCAGATTGTTTTTTTACCTAATTTTTGTTTTTGAGAAAAATGAGATCCACATATGAGGACATTTGTTTCAAATTTTGATAGAACAGTGGCAGTATAATGTCCTCGTAAGTGGATATCAGGCCCTTGTAGAAAAAAATTAAGTATTGTGGTCTAGACATCCCAAAATGTGATGTCCACATATGTGGACACCAGGTCCTAGGAGGTTAAAGTATTTGTTAACAATTACCACAACATCACTGTTGACGGTGCTTTTCCAGTGTCCTAAAACACCCTTCAGCTAAAGAAATGACACATAGTAGCAAATAAACCAACTAAAAGTTCATAATATTCCCATAGAAAAGTCACACCTGAATAGATTTTAAACACAGTCAAACATTTCTACATGTTTACAACTGAAGCACATTAAGCAGTTGTAACCGTCTTACTGTTACATGACGGCACCTCTGCCTTTCTTGTGTAACTTCAGCTAATGGAGGCACAAATAAACACTTTGCTCACACCGAGTTCTATGAAAGACTAATGGGCTACCAAATATTTGCTCAAAGTGATGAGCATAAGCCTATGCTGTATACAGACCTTAATAATATTCCCACACAGCTCACTTCACAGAGGGATTGCAGGCCAGCCAAAACCAGTCACGCACTCTAATATTTCACTGGACTGCCTTCAGCTTTGATAGCCTATAACTGTCACAGCATTTATTTCTGACCACAGCTGGATTTATTTATTTATTTAGTCAAATTCTTTCATTGATGATGGGAGAGTCAGACTGCTGCATGAAATCTTCTCTTCCAGCTGAAACATATTGATTAATGCAGTAATTATGCAACAGAGGGCTATTATGTGTTTGCTTTGTTAAATCCAGGTGGTGACCATTTTTGTGGCCAGGCAGTGTATGTGTGCTGTTTTTGAGTCAGACAGGCTTACCTGTTGGACATGTTGTGTGACGCAGTGCCAAGGGATCTCCTCCCCAGGACGGAGAGAGCATAAGACAGAGTGACCAGAGGAGAGTCTTCATCGCTGTCCACAGGCTGGATATAAGCACAAACACACGGATGAAGGCAATGGCATATGGGCCAGAGATAAAAGTAAGTACAGATTCAAGCATTATGAATGCTGTATGGCAATTTGCAGCAGTTTATTTTCAATGTGCAACTCTTGCTTTCTTTCTTAATCATGTCAGATTTCTAAACAAGTAAAAGCAGAATGACAATAAACAAAATTCCTTAAAGGAGACGTAAAACATTACTGTTTCCAGCTTCTCAAATCTGAAATATATTCTAGTTTTTCTTCTTCTTTCAGCATTTTAAGCATTTGGGCTCATGACTATAACCACATTAAGTTGCAGCAGAGTGTAAACTGAAACTCGCAAGATGATGTTTAATAGAACAGTGTTAAAGGGACGTACCGTCTCCATTTTCCCAGCACAGTGCTGGATCCACTCCAGGTAAACGTTGCAGAAGCTGGCGCGCGTCACCCCCTGCAGGCAATGCACATAGTCCTCATCGATCTTCACGCTAAAGACCTGAGGGTCGCGCTCAATGTGGTGCCACTTGGTGTAGGACTGCAGCGCCTCCTGAATGGTGGCATCCTTGAGCCATGTAGACAGTTTGGGAGAGTGGACCAAGTAGTAGATGATACTCTGAAAAGGAGATTGAGAAAGAATGGGTCAGTAAGTAAAAACATAATACTCACTCAAAAGGAAGACGTGCTCTTGTACGTACTGCATTGCTTAGGATGTCTAGAGTCCCTTATTGCCATGCTGCTATTTGTAATGGTGATTAATGCATAAGATGCTAATTAATTTGTCATTTAAACTGCTTAACCTTTGTGCAGGCAACTCTTTAAGAGCCTTTTGAGACGAGCTGAATGTTCAATTTTCAGCTTGCCTCTGAAGTGAGGCTGACTGAATGCATCAGGGGTGAATGCATTATTAAACCGTGCAGGGTTCCCTTTAATAGCAGAGATTCATTTGAATTTATTTGACATGACAAAATCTGATCTTAAGTGGAAAGCAAATTCCCACGTAAGAACAGTGACTGCAGGTTTCTCTGGAGTCAGTCACATGTTGCTGTCAGCGAGCAGAGCCTTTTTGTCCATCATCAGTGTCTAACCTCACAAGTATGCTTCTGGAAGAATGTTCAAAAATTCCCATAAACACACTCCGAAATCTTGAGGAAAGCCTTCTCAGAAGAGTTGAAGCTGTTTCAGCTGCAAAGAGCGGGCCAACACCATATTAAACCCTTTGGATTAAGAACAGGATGTCATTCAAGTTCGTGTGCGTGTGAATGCAAGCGAGCAAACACTTTTTTAGCAATATAGTTTGAAATGTTTTGATGCCCTGTAAACGCACATACTCTGTGAATCTGGAAGCTTCAGGTTGGAGTGTAAATGTACCTTCAGGTAGTAGGTGATGAGCAGCTTTCGAAGATCGTACACTTGCAGCATGGTGGCAGCATTGTTCTCACTGATGCTGTAACCCTCCAGCAGGTACTTGGTGGCCATCACTTCCCAAGCCAGCCAGCGCAGGTTGAAAGCAGCGTTGCATGACAGCATGTGAGGCAAGTGGCCCGGCTCACAGCAGCAGCATGCGTCATCTTCCTCCACGCCCTCTGTGATGGCCTCCACCTCGCGCTGCTGACAGTACGTCCCTGGGATAGAGACATGGAGTCATAAGTAAAGCAATAAGATACCTTTGCCATGGACGCGATGGGATGGCTGTACTTTACCTCTGAACTCTAAACCCCTCAGTTGGAAGGTGACCAAACCATTGCCAATCTCTATGAGGTGGACCAGGGCGTTGAGGTAGTCAGAAGCCAGGATGAAACAGTCCCCAGCGCTATAGTTGCCCCATCGGCCCAGCATGAGGTCACCACAAAGCGAATGCTGCAGCGATCGAGTCAGGTACTCATAAAAGATGGAGTTTAGGTTGTTATCGTCGCAACCTGCAAAAGAAGAGCCAGAAAAACAGATCAAATGTGCTTGCTGCCTTATCTGATACTAAAATACAAGATGCTCTTTGTGTTGGGGGAATGAAATAAATTAAACTGATTTGATAGTCCAGTTAAAGCTCACCTGTCTCCTTGTCCACCTGGGACACCAGCCTGCTGTTGGAGTTATCAATACGTTTTGTGCTGCAAGGAACACACAAAGAAGCATATCTGTGCAACACTGACCAAATGTTTTTCCTGTATGTGCTTATACATCAGGTTAAAAGCTGATAAAATATATCATGCAATCCCGTATGAAGTGTCTCACTATAAAACTACTGTATGCTTTTATTTCACTTTATTCCTGCTCTGCTGTGACTGTTCTGCTATACTTTCTGTGTCATGTTGCATTGCTGCTGATCTGAGCTTCACAGTGACAACTTGAGCAAACACTTCCTATTTCAACTGACTCCAGCTGAGGTGATGCTGTCAGTGATTTCAAGGTTTCAGGTCTAACACTGACAGTGTCACCTAAATATAGTCGTGGGGTAAGCTTGCACATGAAAGCTGTGGGAGTATTTCTGGCGTGCTCTCAGGGTGCTGAATGCGTGCAGTCTCTCACATCAATAAGTAAGAGGGAACAAAGACACTTTATTGTGTAAGCAGCTAAGTGTGAGACAGAAGGGGAGCTCAGTTCAAAAGACAAAGATTGATTGCTTCTTCAGTAAATAAAAAAAAACAGATGTGCAAATTACAAACTGGAGAAGGAAGTCACGACTCAGTATTTATCCTACCACGTAAGCCCATTTAACCACGTAAAAGCCTAATCAAAGACAACTTCTAAATGAGCTATAGGGCCTGGACACCTTGTAGTCACTGAGTTGATCATGTGCTCCTCTATATATCAAAGTATTGTGGAGTCAAATGTGAGGCCATGTGCTGTAGCGTTCCAAAGTGAAATGCTGTGGGGGCACTTTAACAGAGTGGGCCAAAATTCCACCACAGCAACGTGAAAGACTGACAAAGTCATACAGAAAATACCTCAAGTTATTCATGCTAAAGGTGGTACTATAAGCCACTGAACCCTGAGGTACAATAAGCTTTTCAAAAAAAATCGCAGACATGTGAAAAATTGTTTTTTCACAACTGCAAATCATTTTTTTAACACAGCTGGGTATTGTAGTTTTTAATTAAAATTACTCTGACTGATGAGGACTATTTTTAGCCACATTTGCAGCTGGACTGTGCAATTCAAACTTGTAAAAAAAGGACCATGCAACAGAATACAAGTCTACCTCATTAGTTTGTTTTAATTAGAAACGACAGCTCTGCAGCACAGAGGAAAAAAAGGCTATTTTAGTAAAAGCTAAACATATTTATTTTCATGAGCTACACTGATAATGACCTGTTCTTTAATTTTCAAGAATTCCTTAATCTGGACCATTTGAGAGACTGACGGCACATTCACTTAATTTCCTCATCAGGCCCTTACTTGTAGTTTCTCTCCCAGAACTTAATGGGCCTCGGATAAGAGGAAATGAAGATGGCACTGCCCAGGAAGGGGGCGAGTGGAGTGTAGAAAACTGTGGTGAGCAGAGTCTGGAGCAGCAGCATGGCTGAGTCTAGACGCACACACACGCCAGTCAAGGAAAGAAAAAACAGGCACTGATACACTTTCACACACTTGCAGGTCTTAGAGAAAGGATACGAGGCACAGCAAATGGCTGAGCAAAGGCATGAAAAGCGCTGCCCCAGGCGATCTGCCAGGGAGCGATGTAAACCAGGATGAAATGGAGTTTCAGCAGCAGCTCACGCATCTGGACAGAAAGGGAAGCACAAAGTCAATCCTCTGAGAGCCGCACAGTAGCGACAGCCTTATTTAACTGCCTAGCTTCATATACGCTCTAATTATTCTGCAAGGTTCACGACAGGCACATATTAACAGAACACAAAAGGGAAGTCTGTTGAAGGTTTCATATTTCAGTCACACTTTCTTTGGTTTCTGTCAATGGCTGCACATAAAACACACAAAAACACATCTTTCAATCGCAAATAAAAACATGTTTTTGTTGCTCTCAATCAGCTTGAAGTTACTATTTTTACTATATTTTTAAGAATCACTTTCAAAAGGTTTGTCAGCAGATTTAATTTTGATTATTGTATTTTCTCAGACTTTACCAGAGCATGACTAGCACTCTCTGTTATGAGTAACTACCCTTTGCAAACTTGATGAGTAAATTAGCAGTTAGCATTCAAGTCTCAGCTGTTGTGTATAACAGTTTCTTTGTGACCTTGTTTCTGCTTATCACAAATATCTGCTTATTTCTATACCCACTAAGTATTGTATACGTGTAAGATAACCTCCTGCATTCTCTCATGTGGTCCTCCAGAAAGCATCAGTGGCTCTTTTACCTTGTGGAACACAATGGACATGATGAAGAAGTCCAGCAGGAAGCTCTCAGAGGCACGTGGACAGTCGAAGTGAAAGAAAATGAGTGTAAAGAGCAGAGTGAGGAACTGGAAGCTGGGGTTGCAGAAGGATGAGCGCAGGAGTTTCAGTCCAGCGACTGTCGTCAGGAGAACATCACAGCTGAAGAAAGCACAAACAAGGGCACAAAAAAACGATCAAATCCCCCTCCTTAATGGGCTCTGTACTATCTTTTCATTATCTAAGTGGATAAGCAGTCGCACCAAGCTGACTGTAAATTTTACCAGTTAACCCAGGACGTCACATAAAAGG